TGCTCCCCGAGCCTCTCTCCTCCTCCTTTTCCTTCTCCTCGTAGTCGTCTTCCTCCTCCTCCTCCTCCTCCTCCTCCTCCTCCTCCTCCCTCCTCCCTCCTCCTCCTCCTCCTCCTCCTCCTCCTCCCTCCTCCTCCTCTCCTCTTCCTCATCCTCCTCCTCCTCCTCCTCCTCCTCCTCCTCCTCCTCTTCCTCCCCCGCAGGCGCGATGGTTCTCTGATGTCGCGCGGGCGGAGGCGCGCGGGGCGCGCGGAGGAGGCCCCGGGCCGCAGGGCGGCGCCATGGCTGGCCGCGCTCCTCCTGAGCGCCGGGAGCGCCCGGTGCCCCGCCCGCGGGGGTGCCGCCCGCGCCTGGCAGCGCCCCCCGCTCCCGGGGGTCAGCTCGGCGGCGAGCGAGGGGGGGCAGTGAAGATGGTCTACTCTGTAAGAACAGTTTTTTGAAGGCAGATCTGCCTTCAAAAAATCTGTAAGAACGGTTTTTTGCAGGCAGATCTGCCTTCAAAAAATCTGTAAGAACGGTTTTGTTGAAGGCAGATCTGCCTTCAAAAAATCTGCCTTCAAAAAACCGTTCTTACAGAGTGAGGACTAAGGTCAGCGAGCGAGGAACGGTACAAAATAAAGTTTCCGCCGTCGGGGACGCCTGCCCCTGGGCGGCTGGAGAGTTTATACCCCTACGGTGCCAACAGAAGGGTATAACCTTTCCAGCCGCCCTGGGGCAGGTGTCCCCGACGGCGAAAAAATCATGTTATACCGTTCTTCGCCCGTTAATGGGGGGGGATATCATGGCGGGGGCCATGATATCTCCCCAGATTTCATGGCGCCTCTGCTTGTTTCATCACGTCCCTGGCCCCCCCGCTGGGCCGCGCACGTGCCGCCGGTCATGATTTGCACCCCCCCCTCTTGGACACCCCCTCTTGGCCGCTCCCGAGAGAAGGAGAAGGCCTTCCCGGAAGGCGGCGGGACTGCTCGGAAGCCCCCTCGCGCCTTCTGAGAAGCGCTCCTGTGCCTTGGGGGGAAGGCTCCGAAAACTTCTCAGAAGGCCCGGGGGACTTCCGAGCCTTCTGAGAAGGCCCGCCCCGTCACACTTTCCCCCCCTCGCTCGCCGCCGATCAGCCGCCTGGCGCCTGCCCGGGCGCCGTCGCCGGCGCCGCTTCTTCGGCCGAGGGCCCCGGGCCGAAGGCCGGCGGCGCGGAGGGCCCGGGGCGGCCAGGAGCAGCAGCGAGAGGAGTTGTGGTGGCCCGGCGAGGTCGGCGAGGGCGACGAGGGGCACCCGAGTCGCATGGAGCTTTAGGAAGAGCAAGGCACACAGCCACAATCCATCGTCGACAGCCCAGGGAAAGATGGGAAACTGGGGGAGGTGGAGGGGAGGACGAGAGCCAAGGAAACATGGGGGACATCGGGCATCCTGGGCTTTGTGTGTGTGCCGTGTGTCCGTGGGCCCCTCTCAGGAGTGCCCCGAGTGCGGTGCGCACATGGACCTGGTGCGGCGCGGGGCGGCCGGGCGCGGCGCGGGGGGGTGGTTCTACGCCTGCTCCCGCCGCGACGACGAGCGCCGCCCCTGCACGGCCTGCAGGAAGCCGGTGAATAGGACCGCGGCCAGAGAGCGCTCGAGGCAGAAGGTCCGACGACACGTAATCAAGGGCATAAAAAACGCCCCTACCCTGGTTTACGAGGCGCTCTGCGCTGAAACTCCTGTGGGCTGACAGGGTAAACCCTGTGTGACGTGCCGCGCCCTGGCGGCTCTAGGGTTTGGGGGTTCCCAGGAGTTTTACACGCCCCTACCCTGGTTTACGAGGCGCTCTGCGCTGAAACTCCTGTGGGCTGACAGGGTAAACCCTGTGTGACGTGCCGCGCCCTGGCGGCTCTAGGGTTTGGGGGTTCCCAGGAGTTTTACAGACCACGCACTTGTAACCCAGGGTAGGGTCGTTTTTGCATCCCTAAATGTAAGAGTGACCTTTCGCCGGAGTGACCTCGGGTGCGGGCACAATGGGGGCGCCAGATCACCGATTGCGATGCGATAGCAGCGTCTTGCGCGCCTGAGGTTTGGCCCCCCCGCGCCCCCCCAAAAGCCGCGCACCAAAGGTCACTCTTGCCCAGGGTCACTCCTGCGCGTAGCCGAAAGGTGCCCCGCATCATCCTCCGCAACTACCAGGTTCTGGCCGAAGCGAAAGGGAGCGAGAGGGAAAGGGGGGGTTACGAGATCTGCTGCGTGCAGCTGCCCCCGCCAGGCCCACTCCTCGATACATGGGCGCCTCCCGGCGCCGGGAGGCGCTGGGAAAATCAGCTACTTGAGCTGATTCTCTACCCTGCCCTTTGCTGTCCCCCCCTTTCGTTCCCCCCGACAGGTGGGCGCCGTGGAGACCATCAGGCGGTCCTTCCAGGGAGGTCAGGACAGGGTCGTGGTGTCCTTGGCCACGGGGGCCGGCAAGACGTCCGTGGCCAATGGCTACCTCGACAAGCACGAGTCGGAAGCTGTGGTCTTGTGGACGGCACCCGGCCGCGAGCTCCTCGAGCAGGCGGAGATGAACTCGCGGGGGTTCCGGCCCGATCGCGGTCGTCGGTATTCAGGAGGGAAAAAAACGCAGACCTAATTGATCGTCGATTCCCCAGAAAATATACGAAAACATGGGAGGTGTGGGAAGACGAAAATAAATAAGACAAAATATATGGGAATCCTGTTATTTGTATGTATTTGTGTGTCCCAGAGCCCCTTCAGGTATCGCGTCGGACTGGGGGACGTCATGCCAGACATCCCCGAGCTACCCAGGCAGATCTGTCGCTCTGGCGGCGCGGTGGTCTACGCGACGGAGCAGGCTATCTTCAGAAGGCTGAAGAGTCCTGCAAAAGGCATGTCCGGTCCCGAAGAGGCCGAAGGTCTCCAGATGCCAGGCCGCATCCCTGACCTCATCGTCGTGGATGAGTGCCACTGGGCGGGTCTTACCAAAATCGGCATGTGCATTCTAAAGTGGGCCAGGTACCACGGAATTCGGGTCCTGGGTCTCACCGCCACGCCGCTCCCGGCGGCGCCTCTTCCAGTTGTTCACGTGCTCCCTTTGGTGCAACTCGCGAAGCTGGGCGTTCTCGCTTGGCCCAGACTCTGGCGAGTCGAGCGGCTTCCCGACTTACCGCTGTGCGTAACGAGCGTGTTCGACATGCGGAATCACCAGGAGGAGCTGCCCCTTGAGCTGCCTCCTGCCGACATGGCCATCGATCTGACAGAGGTTGTCGACGTGTACGAGGGTGACGCGGAGAGGTGGGGCAAGACCTTGATCAAGGTTGCCTCGATCGAGGATGCCGATGACCTGGTGCGACTGTGCCGGCAACGAAATCTCCGCGCCGCGACAGTCAACGCCAGAACGCCTCTTGCAAGCAGGCAAGGTATCTGAGGCGCCTATGGCGAACCATCGCCGCCCCTTGGCTTTTTTGGAAGCGCCTACACGCGCCGATGTGGTCCCCCATCCGTTGTGGAAACCCTTGCGGAAACCCTTACGGGAGGAAGAACGAGAAGAGGAGGAGGAGGAGAAGGAAAAAGAAGAAGCAGAAGGAGAAGAAGAAGAGGACCGGTGCAAACCCAAGACTCATCAACGATGTTGGAATTTACTCTCCCTCCAAGCCTCCAAGCCCACTCTTCATAGGCCCCTGCAAAGGTTCATCCACTGAGGGAAGTGCCCGTTGGAAGACAACCGTTTGAAGATCTTGATGCGTGCCAAATGCCGTTCTCGGAATACCAACGCCACGAATATGCCTGCACGTTGCGTCTTGACGATCTTGTATCGCGCCAGAACACCATTCCTGAGACTTCAGAACCGCGAATCAACGCAACTGTTGCGTCCTGACAATCCAGAATCGTTCCAAATCGCGGATTCTGATACGTTAACCATAGGTACCAGCGACACGCAAATATTTGAAACACATGTGCGCGGCGCTGAGGCGAGAGTCAAATTTTGAACAGGAACCGCCCTGAATGTGTGAAACGCCTTGCATGTTTGTTAAGACGAATGCGCGCGGAGCTAGCGCGAGAGCCACATTTGAAAACCGCCCGCCCTCAATCCGTGAAGCTCTTGTTTTAAGTTTGTAAGACGAGTGTGCGCGGCGCTAGGGCGGGAGCCACATTTTGAAACCGACCCGCCCTCAATCCGTGAAGCGCTTGGAATGTTTCCCAACCCTTCGTGTTTGGTTTTCCTTTCGAATGGAGCGTTGTGATATCCGACCCAACCCGTCCTCTCCTTCTTCTCCTCCGGACTCCTTCTCCCCCTCCTGCCTCTTGCTTTTTTCCCAACCCTCCGTGCTGGGTTCTCGTCCTGGATAGATCATTTTGGTCGCCCCGTCCTCCTCGTCTCCTCACCCCTCCTTCCTCCTCCTCCTCCTCCTCCTCCTCCTCCTCCTCCTCCTCCTCCTCCTCCTCCTCCTCCTCCTCCTCCTCCTCCTCCTCCTCCTCCTCCTCATGCCTCTCGCTGTCTGTTTTCCTCCTTGTCTTCCACCTCGCGGCTCCTTGGGGGGGCTGCGAATTGCGCAATTGTCGCCGCTTTCGTAGGCTCCTGGGAGGTACGTACAGAGTAGTGGAGTTGTAAACAGATCGCGTTGAGATCTCGCGGGTTCCTGGGGGGGGGGGCTGCGAATTGCGCAACGGTCGCCGTTTTCGTGGGCTCCCAGGAGTTCCAGCGGGGTGGAGTCGTAAACAGATCGCGTTGAGACCTCGCGGGTTCCTGGGAGGGCTGCGAACTGCGCAAATATTGCCACTGACATGGGCTCCTGGGAGGTGCAGCGGAGTGGAGTTGTAAACGTCCTTTGGGGGGCTGAGAACTGCGCAAGTGTCACCACTTTTGGGCTCATGGGAGGTCCAGCTGAGTGGAGGTGTAAACAGATCGCGTTGAGATCTCGCGGGTCCCTGGGGTGGGGGCTGCGAATTGCGCAACGGTCGCCGTTTTCGTGGGCTCCCGGGGGTCCAGCGGAGTTGAGTTGTAAACAGATCGCGTTGAGACCTCGCGGGTCTCTGTGGGTGTTGCGAATTACGCAACCGTCGCCACCTATCGTGGGCTCCCGGGAGGTCCAGCGGAGTGGAGTTGACCTCTCGGGTTTCTTGGGGGGCTGCAAATTGCGCACCGGTCGCCGTTTTCGTGGAGTGCAGCGGAGTGAAGCGGTAAACTGACCGCGTTGAGACCTCGCGGCTCCCTGGAGGGGCTGCGAACTGCGCAACTCTTGCCAGTTTCGTGGGCTCATGGGAAGTCCAGCGGGGTGGAGTTGTAAACGGGCTGCGCTGAGACCTCGCGGGTCCCTGGGGGTGCTGCGAACTGCGCAACCGTCGCCATTTTCGTAGGCTCCTGGGAGGTCCAGCGGAGCTGGCTGTCATGCGGACCAAATCGAGACTTCGCGGGTTCCTGGGGAGCTGCGAGCTGCGCGACAGTCGCCATTTTCGTGGGCTCCAGGGAGGCCCAGCGGAGACCTTGCGTTTATTTGGGGCTGCGAATTGCGCACTGCGGGTTGTTCAACGTGTTCGTTTCTATTGAGCGGTCTTGCGTATAGTCGTCACGTGTTTAGGAAAGGTTGGGTACGTCCCTCGGTAATTTCAGACGAATGTGCGCGGCGCTAAGGCAAAATCCACATTTTGAAAACCACCCGCCCTCCATCCGTGACGCTCTTGCCAGTTCTTATGCTTGAGGATCATGACTGGTACGTGAAATTTGTGCGAAACGCTTGGCCCGCCCTTCCGACTGGCCTCGGGGTGCGACAGGGAGGAGTTATTCAGAAGGAGGCGGAGGAGGAGAAGGAGGAGGAGGCGGAGGAGGAGGAGGAGGAGAGGAGTGATACTGGGGACGAGGAGGAAAGAGGCGGAGGAGGAGAAAGAGGAGGAGAATGAGGAGGAAAAAGAAGAGGAGGAGGATGAGGCCTCTTGGGAGCCTCCTGGGGCCTCTTGTGGACTCCTGGTGGCTTCCTGGGGGCCTCTTGGGGGCCTCTGAGGGGGCCGCTTGGAAGCCTACTGTTGCCTCTGAGGGGGCCCCTGGTGGCACCTTTGTGGCCTCTTGGGCCGTCTTATGGCTCTCTTGGCCGTCTTGGAGCCATCGTGGGCCGTCTTGAGGCCATCCAGGGCTCTCTTTGAGCTATCTTGTCTTGGCCGCCCTGGGGGCGTTTCGGGATTGTCTTGGAGGCCATCTTGGCACATCTTCGCCGTCCTGGACACCAGCTTGGAGCAAACTTGGGCGGGACAGCTGTTGGGAGCCGGGGACCTTTGGAAGGGACAAACGTATTCATCAACGTCAATACGCAAACAGTCTCTGTGGCAGGCTGCGAGAGCGGCGGATCGAAGACGCCTGCGGCGAGTCGCCGCCGCTCCATGCCTTTCTCACGCCTTTCTGTAAGTGCCGGAATCGCCGAACGCTGGAATCAAGCGTGGTTTAATGTTTGGCCTGTGTGGTCCCCCAACCGTCATGGAAACCCTTGGGGGCATGGGGGAACATGTGTGGGGGGAAGGAGAAGGGAAGGGTGAGGAGACGGAGGAGGAGGAGCAGGAGGAGGAGGAGGCGGAGGAGGAGGCGGCGGCAGCGACGGCGGACGATGAGGTCTCCTGTGGGCCTTTGGGGGGCACTTTGATGGCCTTTCGGGGTGCCTCCCAGGACCATCGGGGCACGTCTTGGTGACATCCTGGGCAGTCTTGTTGTCATCTTGGCCGTTTTGGAGGGCCTCTTGGGCCGTCGTGGAGGCCGTATAGGGCCGTCTTGGCCGTCATTTGGGACCGTCCTTGGGCCCTCGTGGGTCCCTCTTGGAGGCTTCCTGGCTTGTTTTGGGGCCATCTTGGAGGCCTCGTGGGCCGTCTGAGGCTGTCGGACGCCCTCGAGGGCGAGATCGCCGTCACCAGTCACAAATCTTAGGTAAAGCAGTGATTGTGTCTCTCGGAGGCCTCTTGGGGCTTCTCGGAGGCCTCTAAGACCGTCCTGGGGGTCATGTTGATCGTCTGGAAGACGTCTTTGCCCGTCTGAGAGGCCGTCTGGCAGGCCATCTGAGAGACCATCCTGGCCATCTTGACGCACTTGGAGGCGAGCTGTCTTGACTTTGCAATGGTTCCAGGTGCCTTGGAATGGCGGATACCCCAGATTTCGTAATAAAAGGGAGGGGGTCTGGACCCTCCAAGACAAGCCATTTCAGACCCCCCCCGTGGGAGAACCCTCCAAAACACCGTCCCCAGACCCCCCCAGGCCCTCCAAGATAGCCTGGAAGAGACCCCCCCCGAAATGAGACCCCCCTCCCTTTATTACAAAATCTGGAGTACATTTTTCGACACGCAGGCATCCCTTCGCAAGCGAAGGGGGCGGTGGATGCAGTGGACGCGCCGCCGTGCTTGGTTTGTGGACCAGAGGTCTCCTCCTCCTCCTCCTCCTCCTCCTCCCTCCTCCTCCTCCTCCTCCTCCTCCGCAGGCCTGTTTGGGGCCTCGTTAGTCTTGGGGGCCTTCTTGGGCCTCTCCAGGGGGCTCGGAGGCCGTCCTGGGACGATCTTGCAGGCGTGCTGGGCCGGGTGGGGCGTTCTTGAGATCGAAATGGCGAGACAGCTGTAACACTTGAGGTGGCACCCGGTAGATGCCCTTAACCAGTTCTCCACAGGCACGATGTGGGCCACGATGGTCGACTAAACGTAAAGAGTGACCTTTCGCCGGAGTGACCTTTGGTGCGGGCCCACAGGGGTCCCCAGGTCGCCGACCGCAGTCCGATAGTAGCGTGTTGCGCGTTCGTGTTTGGCCTACCCACGCCCCGCCTAAAGTCGCGCACCGAAGGTCACTCTTACTCAGGGTCGCTCTTGCCTGTAGTAGAGATGGGGGGCCACAATGGAGGGATCGGGATAGGGATGACGATAGGTATACAGGGCTAGGGGTATAGGGATCGGGATAGTGGGACATGGATCGGGATGGGGATGGGGATAGGGGTACGGGTAGGGATAGACACAGGGATATAGGATAGGGATGACAGAACAAAGGTATAGGGATAGAGACACTGGGATAGGGGTATGGATATATATATATATATATATATATATATATATATATATGCAGATATAGATATACGGCTCGATATAAGGAAAGAGAGAGAGGGATAGGCAATGGGAGACAGCTGGAGGCAATGGCAGACAATGGGAGACAGCCAGAGACAGTGTCGCCCGCCCGCTTCCAGATCTGTCAGTCCACCTGATCGTTTCCTAGAACATCGTTCTATATATAACCATGACAGGCGAGTTGCTTAGGGAACACATCCATTTTGCTTCCCACGTCCTGGGGCCTTTATTTTCTCTGCATACCCCCCCGCAGGATAATTCTCCTCCTCATCCTCCTGCTGCTCCTCCTCCTCCTTACCCCCTTCTCTCTTCCTCACTCACACACTCACACCCCGCACCATCATCATCATCATTGCCATCATCATCATTATCATTGTCAGCATCCTCAGCATCATCATCCTCTTCATTGTTGTCTTCGTCGTCGCCACATCATCATCATCATCATCAGCATCATCATCATCGTCGTCATCATCATCAGCATCGTCATCATCATCAGCAGCATGGTAATCATCATCATCACCATCAGCATCATCATCCTCATCATCCTCATCATCCTCATCAGCATCATCATCGTCAGTATCGCCATCATCGCCGTTATCACTCATCATTACTATACACACACTCACGTACTCACTTTGAGGAAGGTATCAGGCCGAAGCCCCCTCCCCTATGTGGTCCGCATTTCATGTTCGAATCCGAGCGGGTCATCAGCAAACTCTACCAGGCATAGCATTTGAGCACCCCAAGGGGGGCATATCGTAGGGATGTCTCCAGCGGGGGCGGGGGCCCCCTTCCCTCTGAGGCCCGCACTTCATGTTCGAAGCCGAGCGGGTCATCTCCAAACTCTGCCAGGCATAGCTCCTGAGCATCCCGAAGGGGCAAATCGTGAGGATGTCTCAAGCGGGGGCCTAATTTGTGAGTGCGAATTGCGAGAAGGTCTCAGGCGGGAGCCCCCTCCCTATGGGGCCCACATTTCATGTTTGTAACCCGAGCGGGTAATCGGCAAACTTTGGCAGGCACAGCGTTGGAGCACCCCAAGGGGGGGCAAATCAGGAGGATGTCTCCAGCTGGGGCATCGTCTCTAAGTGAATTGCGAGGGAAGTCTCAGGCGGGAGCCCCCTCCCTATGGGGCCCACATTTCATTTTTGTAATCCGAGCGGGTCATCAGCAAACTCTACCCGGCATTGCACTTGAGCACCCCAAGGGGGCAAATCCTGAGGATGTCTCCAGCGGGGGCTTCGTCTGTGAGTGAAGTGCGAGGAAGTCTCGAGTCCCCCCCCAATGTTGCGCCCGCACTTCATGTTGATAAGTGGGCTCCTCCAGCCTGAATCAGCCTTCCCTTTACGGTCCCCACCTCCAAGTTGGAATCCGAGTGTGGTCATTTTGTGGTTCGCCAGGCTTGAATCTGGAGGAAGTCTCGAGCGGGAGTATTGTGAGCGAAGGTCACAGGAACCCCCAGGATGCTTCAGGAAGCCACAGGAGGCCCCAGGAAACACCAAGAGGCCCCAGAGGCCACAGGAGCCCCTAGAGCCACCAGGAAGCTTTAGGAGACCCCAGGAAAGCTCCAGGAGGCCCCGGAAGGTCATAGGAGTGCCCCCGGCACCAGGAGCAGGAGGCAGGAGGCCCAAGGATGAGGCCAGGACAGGAGCTCCCGGAGGCTCCAGGAGGGGAGGAGGAGGAGGAGGAGGAGGAGGAGGAGGAGGAGGAGGAGGAGGAGGAGGAGGAGGAGGAGGAGGAGGAGGAGGAGGAGGAGAGAGGAGGAGGAGGAGGAGGAGGAGCACGAGCAGGACGAGGAGGAGGAGGAGCAGCAGGAGGAGGAGGAGGAGGAGAAATAATGCGGAAAAGGAAGAGGCAGGACGAGGAGGAGGAGGAGGACGAGGAGGAGAAGGACGAAGAGGAGGAGGAGGAGGAGGAGGAGGAGGAGGAGGAGGAGGAGGAGGAGGAGAAGATGGCAGGATGAGGA